CCTCTCTCCTCCCTCTCCCCTCCCTCTCTCCTCCCTCTCCCCTCCCTCTCCCCTCCTCTCTCCTCCCTCTCTCCTCCCTTTCTCCTCCCTCTCTCCTCCCTCTCTCCTCCCTCTCTCCTCCCTCTCCCCTCCCTCTCTCCTCCCTCTCCCCTCCCTATCTCCTCTCTCCCCTCTCTCCCCTCCCTCTCTCCTCTCGCCCTCCCTCCTCCTCTCCCTCTCCCTCCCTCTCCCCCTCTCCCCCTCCCTCTCTCCTCCCTCTCCCCTCCCCTCTCCTCCTCTCCCCTCCCTCTCCCCTCCCTCTCTCCTCCCCCTCTCCCCTCCCTCTCCCCTCCCTCTCCCCTCCCTCTCTCCTCCTCCCTCTCCTCCCTCTCCCCCTCTCTCCTCTCCTCCCTCCTCTCCTCCCCTCTCCCCCTCTCTCTCCTCTCTCCCTCCCTCTCTCCTCTCTCTCCCCTCCCTCCCTCTCTCCTCTCTCTCCCCTCCCCCCTCTCTCCTCCCTCTCTCCTCTCTCTCCCCTTCCTCTCTCCTCCCTCTCCCCTTCCTTCACAGTAAAGCTATAATTTGTAGCTTCTGAGAGTATTCAGTAATTGTGCTGTCATCACTCTATTCTCCCTGCTGGGGAAGTCAGGTGGAGGGAGCCATTCTGCAATGCTTATTGTCATCTCCTGATAAAGCATCGGGGGAAAGAGGGAGGGAGGGGGGAGGGAGGAGGGAGGGAGGGAGGAGTGGAGGGAGGGGGAGAGGTAGGAGGCTGAGGGAGGGAGGGAGAAGGAGAAGCGTGGGGAGGGAGGGAGGGAGGGAGGGAGGAGGGAGGGAGAAGGGAGAAGCGGCGTGAGGAGGAAGGGAGGGAACGGAGAAGGGAGAAGAAGCGTGATGGAGGGAGGGAGGAGGGTGAGGGAGGGAGGGAGGGAGGAGGGAGAAGGGGAGAAGAAGCGTGAGGGAGAGGAGGGAGGGGGAGGAGAAGGGAGAAGAAGCGTGATGAGGGAGGGATGGAGGGAGAGGATGAAGGAGAATAAGCTTGTGGAGGTGAGGGCGGTTGGAGTGAGGAGTGGATGTGGCTTATTGTTTGTTTTGTGTATTGTATTTCGTATTTGAGTCATGGGCTTCTGGGATAGATTCGTATGTAGGATCCGTCGTACTTTGTGTACTTTGTTTCGGATGCGTTTAGAGAATTTGGTAGGCAGCATTACTGTGCCAGGATCAGTAGCGCTGACTTGGCCCATTTAAAGTGAATGTAAATGTAAAACTGAATGCAGGAGAACTGTCATCTCATTTTATTCCACTATCTCTCTCTATGTTAATGATAAAATGGTTTACCTGAAAGTATAGAAGCCTTTTTTTGACTCACTGACACACACACATGCACAGACACGCACGCACACACACACACACACACACACACACACACACACCACACACACACACACACACACACAGACACACACACACCACACACAGACACACACAGACACAGACACACAGACACACCACCACACACACACACAACACATTCACACACACACTCACTCAACGCACCACACACACACACACACAAACACACATACACACACACACACACACAGACACACACACACACACACACACACATACACATTCACACAACACACATACACACCACACACACACACACATCACACACACACACCACTTACACACACACACACACCACACACCACACACACAACCCACATACACAGACACACAGACCACTCCACACACACACAACACATTGCACACACACACCTCACTCACCACTCACACACACACACACACAAACACCCAGACACACACACACACACACAGACACACACACACAACACACACCACAGGACACACAGACACACACGACACAAGGAACACAAACTCAACACACACCACACACACACACAGACACAGACACAGACACACACACCCACACCACACCACCAAGACTATGCACACACACAACCACACAGGAACACCACACTTTACAGCACAACACCACACAACATGCACATGGCACTCAACAGCCACCATCATATGCAGCCCCCAGTACACACTGTTGCTCAGGTTACCATTATACTGCTTTTTACTGCAAAGCAATGAAAACATGGCATCCCAGCATCTCCATAACAGTTATTAAACAGTATATAACAGTCTATAACAGTCTATAATAGCTCACATTACAACCAGTATACTTAAACATGTTCTTATTAAAGTCACTCCCTTAACAGTCTATTAACGTTCTATTACCCATTTTTGGAACAGCCTCTTTTTTTTTCCACTAACAGCTAGTAACAGTATATTAAAAAGCCTATTAACAGTCTATTAACCATTTTATAACAGCCTATTAGCAGTATATTAACAGTCTTTAACAGTCTATTAAAATCTTTTCTTCTTAACAGCACTGAGTAACAGATTAACAGTATATCTAACAGTCTACCATTAACAGCTATTAACAAGCCTCTATTAACATTTTTTATTAAACAGCTATTAACAGTTTATGAACAGATAATTAACGCCTACCTAAACAGCCTATAACAGTCTATTAACAGTCTATTAACAATCTATTAACAGTCTATTAACAGTCTATTAACAGCCTATTAACAGTCTATTAACAGTCTATTAACAGCCTATTAATAGTCTATTAACAAACAAAAATTGATTTCTTCTTCTTCTTCTTCTTATTATTATTATTATTATATTAACAGTCTATTAACAGTATATTAACATTTTATTAACAGTCTATTAACATTTTATTAACAGTCTATTAACAGTCTATTAACAGTCTATTAACATTTTATTAACAGTCTATTAACAAACAAAAATTGATTCCTTCTTCTTATTATTATTATTATTATTATATTAACAGTCTATTAACAGTCTATTAAGTCTATTAACAGTATATTAACAGTCTATTAACAGTATATTAACAGTCTATTAACAGTCTATTAACAGTCTATTAACAGTCTATTAACAGTCTATTAACAGTCTATTAACAGTCTATTAACAGCCTATTAACAGCATATTAGCAGTCTATTAACAGTTTATTAACAGTCTATTAACATTCTATTAACAATCTATTAACAGTCTATTAACAGCCTATTAACAGTCTATTAACAGCCTATTAACAGTATATTAACAGCCTATTAACAGCCTATTAACAGTCTATTAACAGTCTATTAACAGTCTATTAACAGTCTATTAACAGCCTATTAATAGTCTATTAACAAACAAAAATTTATTTCTTCTTCTTCTTCTTCTTCTTCTTATTATTATTATTATATTAACAGTCTATTAACAGTATATTAACATTTTATTAACAGTCTATTAACAAACAAAAATTGATTTCTTCTTCTTCTTCTTCTTATTATTATATTATTATTATATTAACAGTCTATTAACAGTATATTAACATTTTATTAACAGTCTATTAAGTCTATTAACAGTCTATTAACAGCCTATTAACATTTTATTAACAGTCTATTAAGTCTATTAACAGCCTATTAACAGCATATTAACAGTATATTAACAGTCTATTAACAGTCTATTAACAGCCTATTAACAGCATATTAACAGTATATTAACAGTCTATTAACAGTCTATTAACAGTCTATTAACAAACAAAAATGTAGTTATTGTAAAATTGACTGTGTCCATAAAATAGTATATATAAGCTGGAAGTAGAGGCCTAAGCGTTGTTTTAATGGAATATCTACATAGGCGTACAGAGGCCCATTATCAGCAACCATCAGTCCTGTGTTCCAATGGCACGTTGTGTTTGCTAATCCAAGTTTATCATTTTAATAGTCTAATTGATAATCAGAAAACCCTTTCGCAATTATGTTAGCACAGCTGAAAACTGTTGTGCTGATTAAAGAAGCAATAAAACTGAGCCTTCTTGAGACTAGTTGAGTATCTGGAGCATCAGCAATAACTTTCTTCTGAAACTCGTCAGTCTATTCTTGTTCTAAGAAATGAAGGCTAGAGGCCAGAGCGAGAGAGAGGGCGAGAAGAGCCGAGAGAAGAGAGAAGAGAGGAGGAGAGGGGAGAGGAGAGTAGCGAAGAGCGAGCGAGAGAGAAAGAGCGAGCGAAAGACGATAGGAGAGGTACGATGAGAGAGAGAGAGCAGAGAGAGAGAGAGTAGAGAGAGAGCGCTGATATATCGCCTCCTGCTACGAGAGCGGTCTTCGCTCTCGACTCGCTCTCTCCTCTGATCGCTATTCGCGTATCGATTTGTATCGTGTATAGGTCGCGTATGCGATCTTATCTCTAGCGAAGAGACATAGCGAGAGATCTAGCTCTCTCTGGAGAGGTCTTAGTATGTCGTCTCTGTCTGAGAGAGAGAGAGTAGAAGAGGAGAAGGAGAGAGAGAGAGAGAGCGAGAGAGAAGGAGAGAGGAGGAGGGAGAGAGAGAGAGAGAGAGAGAAGAGAGAGAGCGAGAGAGAGCAGAGAGAGAGAAGAGAGAAGAGGGAGAGAACGGGAGCGCGCGCAGATAGCAGAGAGAGCGAGGAGAGAGAGAGGGAGGAGGGAGAGGGGAGAGGGAGAGGGAGAGAGAGAGAGAGAGAGAGCGAGAGAGAGAGAATGGAGAGAGAGGAGATTGAGAGAGAGAGACGGAGAGGAAGGAGATAGAGAGAGAGCACGGGAGAGTAACAGGAGAGCATGAGAGAGCGAGAGAGAGAGAAGCGAGCGCGAGAGAGATAGAGAGCGAGAGAGCGAGGGGGTATGAGAGAGAGAGAGAAGGGAAGAGAGAGAGAGAGAGAGAGCGAGAGGGTCGAGGGAGCGAGCGGTCGCTGGAGCTGTAGCGAGCGCGCGAGAGCGTAAGGAGAGAGCGAGAGAGAGAAGAGAGAGCGAGAGAGATAGATGGTATGGGGGAGCGCGAGATCTGGCTAGCGCTCTCTCTCTATTCTCTATCTCTCTCTTGATATAGTATCTATCTCTCGATATAGATCGAGATATCTATATGTCTCGCGCTAAGCTCGAGAGATATATATTCTAGAGCTATGAGCTCCAAGAGTGTAGGACCAGGGTTCTACAAGGCGTTGTCAGGGAACATCAGGTGTTCAAAGTGTCCTCCGCACAGTTCCAGCCATGACCAGGCAGCCACGCTCTGCCACTGTGACAGAGGCTTCTACCGGGCAGCCAAGGACCCCTCCACCATGGCATGCACACGTGAGTTACTGTACTTCTCCTCTGTGTGTGTGTGTGTGGGCGGGGAGGGTTGAGAGAGAAAGAGAGACAGAGAGAGACAGAACCATAAATAAATAAAAAGTGGGTTTTCTGGCATCGTATCTCAGGCTCTGTGGCTGTAGCTGTGTATCTAGTACTCTAACCCACCTTCTAGAAGACAGCTAGTCATGTCACACCTGGCTCAGAACGGGGGAGGGAGAGGGAGAGGGGGAGGGAGAGGGGGAGAGCTAGTCATGTCACACCTGGCTCAGAACAGGGGAGGGGGAGGGAGAGGGGGAGGGGGGGGGGGGGGGGGTGTAGAGAGAGGGGGGAGGGTAGGTAGGTAGAGGGATGAGGGGGGGAGGGGGAGGGAGAGGGGGGAGCGGGTGGGAGGGAGAAAGGGTAGAAGCGATATGGGTTAACTACTACATCCATTTATGGTGGAGAATAATAATCATCATAATAATAATTTTATTTTAAGCTCTTTTCACGACAACCAAAGTCATTATTACACAGTAGGATAAAAAGCTATAAAATAAGTAATTATATAAACATGATGACAGACTAACCATCAAAACTATGAAATAACAAATATGGAATCATGTAGTAACCAAAAAAGTGTTAAACAAACCAGAATATATATTTTATATTTGAGATTCTTCAAAGTAGCCACCCTTTGCCTTGATGACAGCTTTGCACACTCTTGACATTCTCTCAACCAGCTTCACCTGGAATGCTTTTCCAACAGTCTTGAAGGAGTTCCCACATATGCTGAGCACTGCTTTTCCTTCACTCTGCGGTCCAACACATCCCAAACCATCTCAATTTGGTTGAGGTCGGGTGATTGTGGAGGCCAGGTCATCTGATGCAGCACTCCATCACTCTCCTTCTTGGTCAAATAGCCCTTACACAGCCTGGAGGTGTGTTGGGTCATTGTCCTGTTGAAAAACAAACGATAGTCCCACTAAGCCCAAACCAGATGGGATGGCGTATCGCTGCAAAATGCTGTGGTAGCCATGCTGGTTAAGTGTGCCTTGAATTCTAAAGAAATCACAGACTGGTGACACTGTCTGTGTTTCTTCAAGTGCAGTCCCCACACCATCACACCTCCTCCTCCAAGCTTCACGGTGGGAACCACACATGCGGAGATCATCCGTTCACCTACTCTGCGTCTCACAAAGACACGGCGGTTGGAACCAAAAATCTCCAATTTGGAGTCCAGACCAAAGGACACATTTCCACCGGTCTAATGTCCATTGCTCGTGTTTCTTGGCCCAAGCAAGTCTCTTCTTCTTATTGGTGTCCTTTAGTAGTGGTTTCTTTGCAGCAATTCGACCATGAAGGCTTGATTCACACAGTCTCCTCTGAACAGTTGATGTTGAGATGTGTCTGTTACTTGAACTCTGTGAAGCATTTATTTGGGCTGCAATTTCTGAGGCTGGTAACTCTAATGAACTTATCCTCTGCAGCAGAGGTAACTCTGGGTCTTCCATTCCTGTGGCGGTCCTCATTAGAGCCAGTTTCATCATAGCGCTTGATGGTGTTTGCGACTGTACTTGAAGAAACTTTCAAAGTTCTTGTCTTAAAGTAATGATGGACTGTCGTTTCTCTTTGCTTATTTGAGCTGTTCTTGCCATAATATGGACTTGGTCTTTTACCAAATAGGGCTATCTTCTGTATACCTTGTCACAACACAACTGATTGTCTCAAACGCATTAAGAAAGAAAGAAATTCTACAAATTAACTTTTAAGAAGGCACACCTGTTAATTGAAATGCATTCCAGGAGACTACCTCGTGAAGCTGGTTGAGAGAATGCCAAGAGTGTGCAAAGCTGTCATCAAGGCAAAGGGTGGCTATTTGAAGAATCTCAAATATAAAATATATTTTGATTTGTTTAACACTTTTGTGGTTACTACATGATTCCATATTTGTTATTTCATAGTTTTGATGTCTTCACTATTATTCTACAATGTAGAAAATAGTAAAAAATAAAGAAAAACCCTTCAATGAATAGGTGTTCTAAAACTTTTGACCGGTAGTGTCAATGATGCAGACAATTACGTTGATGGAAGGTACAATCTATCTGCGCTATTAAAGTTGATCTAACCCCTGAGAATAAAAGAGGGAGTGGCAGAGTGGGTCTGGATGTGGATGTGAGCATAACAGTGAAATCTGAGTCCAAATTGACGGAGGATCTGACCAAGGGGTAGCATGTAAATACTAAACAGTAATGGACCCAACACTGAGCCTTGTGGGACACCTTGTGATACAGGGACTGTAGTTGGGGAGGAAGGGGAGGTTTGAGGTAGGCCTGTAGTTGGTGAGGAAGGGGAGGTTTGAGGTAGGCCTGTAGTTGGTGAGGAAGGGGAGGTTTGAGGTAGGCCTGTAGTTGGGGAGGAAGGGGAGGTTTGAGGTAGGCCTGTAGTTGGGGAGGAAGGGGAGGTATGAGGTAGGCCTGTAGTTGGGGAGGTTTGAGGTAGGCCTGTAGTTGGGGAGGAAGGGGAGGTTTGAGGTAGGCCTGTAGTTGGGGAGGAAGGGGAGGTTTGAGGTAGGCCTGTAGTTGGGGAGGAAGGGGAGGTTTGAGGTAGGCCTGTAGTTGGGGAGGATCTCAGGGTCCAGGCCCTGTTTCTTCAGTATGGGAGTTATAGCCGCTGTTTTCAAAGAAGTAGGAACGATGCCAGATGTGAGGGATACATTTTACAACCTTGACCATCAGGGGGCAGAGAACAGGGAGGCATGCTTTAACTACGGCAGTGAGTATGGGGTCAAGGGAGCAGGTTGTGGTTTGGGGTTTAGAAAATACTTCAGTAGTGGTGGTTTCATTAACAAGGGAGATGACATGAAGTCTGTTCACAGATGGTCGGGTGTATATCTGGTCTGCTCCCCTCCCTCCCCTCCCTCCCTCCCTCCCTCCCTCCCTCCCTCCCTCCCTCCCTCCCTCCCTCTCCCTCCCTCCTTCCCTCCTCTTTCTCTCTCCAGGCTCTCCATCGGCCCCCAGGAACCTGATCGCTCTCATTAACGAGACGGCTCTGTTCCTCACCTGGTCTCCGCCAAGCGACAGCGGTGGCAGGAAGGACCTCACCTATAACATCGTGTGCCATCGCTGCGGCGGGGGTGGCAGTGGCGCCTCCGGTGGCGGGGAGGACTGTGAGCCGTGTGAGGCCGACCTGCGCTTCGTACCAGGCCCCCTGGGCCTCACCGGGACCTCCGTGGCTGTTCTGGACTTGGCCCCCCACGCCAACTACACCTTCCACGTAGAGACTGTCAATGGAGTGTCTGGGCTGGGCCAGAACATCAGGCCCCTGGCTAACATCACTGTTACTACGGACCAGACTGGTGAGTACTGACCAGACCACCTGGTTAACATCACTGTTACTACGGACCAGACCCCTGGTTAACATCACTGTTACTACGACAGACACACTGGTTAACAACATGTTACATACCTGTACCAGACCCTGGTTAACATCCACTGTTTACAACCAGACCCCTGGTTACAATCACTGTTACTACGGACCATTGACCCCTGTTAAACATGTTACACGGACCAGACCACCTGGTTAACATCACTGTTACTACGGACCAGACCCCTGGTTAACATCACTGTTATTACTGACCAGACCACCTGGTTAACATCACTGTTATTACTGACCAGACCACCTGGTTAACATCACTGTTATTACTGACCAGACCCCTGGTTAACATCACTGTTATTACGGACCAGACCCCTGGTTAACATCACCTGGTAAACACTGTTACACAGCTGGCAACCACCATGTTACACACCGACCTGTTTAACATCACTGTTACTACGGACCAGACCCCTGGTTAACATCACTGTTACTACTGACCAGACCACCTGGTTAACATCACTGTATTACTGGACCAGACCCCTGGTAACATCACTGTTACTACTGACCAGACCCCTGGTTAACATCACTGTTACTACGGACCAGACCCCTGGTTAACATCACTGTTACTACGGACCAGACCACCTGGTTAACATCACGGTTACTACGGACCAGACCCCTGGTTAACATAAAGTTACTACCCCAGGAAACCAAGGGACCCCCGGTTTAACATCACTGTTATACGACCAGACCCCGGGAAAACATCACTTTATTACTCCCCAAAACCACCTGGTTAACATCACTGTTTTTACTGACCAACCACCTGGAAAACATCACTGTTATTACGGCCAGACCCCGGGTTTAAACTCATTTTTTTAACGACCAGACCCCTGGTAACATCACTGTTATTAGGGCCCAGCCCCCGGGTTTAAACATCACTTTTTACCGGCCAACCCCGGGTTTAAACTCACGTTACACGAACCCAACCCCTGGTTTTAACATCACTTTTTACTACGGACCCCCCCGGGTTTAACACACGTTACCCGCCAACCCCGTTTAACATCACTTTATACGGACCAGCCCCCGGGTTAACTCACTTTTATACAAACCGCCCCCCTGGTTAACATCACGTTATTACGGAAACCAAAAACCCCCGGTTAAACCCTGTTATTACGCCCAGACCCTGGTTCATCACTGTTACTACGACCGACCCCCGGGTTTAACATCACTGTTCTAGACCAACCCCTTTTAAAATCACTGTTACTACGGACCAGACCCCGGGGTTAACATCACTGTTATACGACCAACCCCGGTTAAATCACTTTTTACTCCGGACCAGCCCCCGGTTAACATCATTTGTTACGGCCAGACCCCTGGTTAACATCACTGTTATTACTGACCAGACCCCCTGGTTAACATCACTTTTTACTACGACCAGCCCCCTGGTTTAACATCACTGTTACCGGACCAACCCCTGGTTACATCACTGTTATTACTGACCAACCACCGGTTAACACACTGTTATTACGGCCCAGCCCCCTGGTTAACATCACTGTTACTGGGGGCCAGACCCCGGGTTTTAAACATCCGTTATTACGACCAACCCCCGGGTTAAACATCACTTTTAAATTACTGACCAACCCCCGGGTTAAACACCTGTTTAGGACCAACCCTGGTTACATCACGTTAAAAAGGGACCGACCCCTGGTTAACATCACTGTTATTCGACCAGACCCGGGTTAACCACCTTTTATTACTACCAGACCCCTGGTTTAAACCCCAAATCCCCACTTTATTAGGGACCGACCCCGGTTAAACATCATGTTATTCGCCAACCCGGTTAAACCTGTTATACGACCAGACCCCGTTAACATCACGTTCTATACCAGACCCCTGTTAACACACTGTTACTAGGGACCAGACCCCGGTTTAACATCACTTTTACTACGGCCCAACCCCTGGTTAACATCACTTTACTACGCCAGCCCCCTGGTTAACATCCTTTTATAGGGGCCCAACCCCCCCCGGGTTTAACATCACGTTACTCGGACCAGACCCTGGTTACATCATGTTACTACACCAGCCCCGGTTAAAATCACTTTACTAGGACCCAGCCCCCGGGTTTAACTCACTTTTACACGGACCAGACCCTGGAAAACATCACTGTTACTACGCCCAACCCCCTTTTTAACACATTTTTTCTACGGACCAGACCCCTTTAACATCACTGTTCTTACGCCCAAAACCCCGGGGGAAACATCACTGTTATACGACCAACCCCGGGTTTAAAACCCCACTGTTTTACGACCAGCCCCCGGGTAACACCCTGTTACTACGGACCAGCCCCCGGGTTAACTCACTGTTTATTTAACCAACCCCGGTTTTAAAATCATGTTACTACGACCAGAAAAACCCTGGTTAAACCGTTTTCTCCCAGAGGAACCCAAAAGGTTTAGAAAAAGGGAAAAAATTGAAAGGAAAGGAAAAAGGGACAGGAAAGAGGGGAAAGGGAGGCAGAAGGGGAAAGAAGAAAAAAAGGGGGGGGGCCCCCCCCCCCCCCCCCCCCCCCGCCCCCCCCCCCTTTTTCCTCTCCCTTTTTTTTTTCCCCCTTTTTTTCCCCCCCCCTTTTCCCCCCCCCTTTTTCCCCCCCCCTTTTCCCTTCCCTTTTTTTTTTTTGTTCCCCCCTTTTTTTTTTTTTGTGATTAAGGGCAGAGGGTTGGGGGGTGTGTTTTTTGGTTGGGGGGCTCCTCTCCCCCTAAGAGAGGGAGATCTGGTCTGGGGTCTGTGTGTGGCGGCTCCTCTCTCCCTATAGATCTGGTCTGGGGTCTGTGTTGGGGGTTTCCTCCTCCCAATAGATCTGGTCTGGGGGTCTGTGTGTGGCGGCTCCTCTCTCCCTTAAATCGGGCGGGGGTCTGTGTGTGGGGGCCCTCTCTCCCTTGATCTGGCTGGGTCTGTGGGGGTGGCTCCTCTCTCCCTATAGATCTGATCTGGGGTCTGTGTTGGTTGCTCCCTCCCCCCCCCCCCCCCTATACAGACCGCTGATCTGATCGGGGGTTGTGGGTGGTTGCTCCTCTCTCCCTATAGAGACCGCTAGATCTGGTCTGGGGTCGGTGTGTGGCGCCCCTCCTCCCTATAATCGGTCGGGTCGGGGTGTGTGGTGGCTCCTCCCCTCCCTTAGACGGGTCGGGGTCTGTTGTGGGGGGTCCCTCCCCTATAGATCTGACTGGGGTCCGTGTTGGTGGCCCCTCCTCCCTATAGTCTGGTCTGGGGCCCTTTGGTTTGGGGGTCCTCTCTCCCCTTAATCGTCTGGGGGCTTGTTGGCGGCTCCTCTCTCCCTTAGATTGTTGGGGTGTGGGGTGTGGTGGCTCCTCCTCCCTATAGATCGGTTGGGGTGTGGTGGGGTGGCTCCTCTCCCCCAAGATCGGTTGGGGGTCTGGTGGGTGGTCCCCCTTCCCTATAGATCTGGTCGGGGGTTGTGTGTGGTGGTCTTTTCCCCCTATAGATCTGGTCTGGGGGTCTGTGTGTGGTGGCTCCTCTCTCCCTATAGAGACGTAGATTTTGGTCTGGGGGTTGTGTGGGGTGGCTCCCTCTCCCTTAGTCGGTCGGGGGTCCTGTGTGTGGTGGCTCCTCTCCCCCTTATAGATCGGTCTGGGGTTGTTTTGGGGGCTCCTCTCTCCCTATAGATCTGGTCTGGGGTCTGTGTGTGGTGGCTCCTCTCTCCCTATAGATCTGGTCTGGGGGTCTGTGTGTGGTGGCTCCTTCTCCCTATAGATCTGGTCTGGGGGTCTGTTTTTGTGGTGGCCCTCTCTCCTATAATCTGGTCGGGGGGTCTGTGTGTGGGGGGCTCCTCCCCTATAATCTGGTCTGGGGTCCGTGTGTGGTGGCCCTCTCTCCTAAAATTTGGGTCTGGGGGGGTCGTGTTGGTGGCTCCTCCTCCCTATAGATTGGTCTGGGGGTCTGTGTGTGGTGGCTCCTCTCTCCCTATAGATCGGGTCTGTGTGTGGTGGCTCCTCTCTCCCTATAACCCTGGTCGGGGGGTTGTGTTTTTGGGGCTCCCTCTCCCTTAGATTGGTCGGGGGTCTGTGGTGGGGCTCCTCTCTCCCTATGATCTGGTCTGGGATCTGGGTTGGGGCTCCCTCTCCCTAAGAGATGCTAGATCTGGTCGGGGCTGTGTGTGGGGGCCCCCTTCCCCTATAGACTGGTCTGGGGGTCTTGTGTGGGGCTCCTTTTCCCCCCTATAATCTGTCTGGGGTCTGGGGTGTGGGGGTCCTCTCCCCCTTAATCGGTTGGGGGTCTGTGTGGGGTGGTTCCCTCTCCCTATAGATCGGGTCTGGGGGTCTGTGTGGGGTGGCTCTCTCTTTAGATTGGTCTGGGGGTTTGTGTGTGGTCTCCCTCTCCCTATAATCTTTGGGGGGTCTGTGTTGGTGGCCCCTCTTTTATAGATCGGTTTGGGGGGTTTTGGGGTGTGGGGTCCTTTCCCTATGACCCCTGGTTCTGGGGGTTTGTGTTGGTGGCCCTTTTTTTAGATTGGTCTGGGGTGTGTTTTGTGGGTGGCTCCTTTCCTCCCTAAATTGGTCTGGGGGTTGTTTTTGGGGGCCCCCTCCTCTCTCCCTAAGATTGGTCTGGGGGTTTGGGGGTGTGTGGGGCTCTCTCCCCTATAGATTGGTCTGGGGTCGTGTTGGTGGCTCCCTCCCCCCTATAGTTTTCTGGTGGGGGGGGCTTTTGTGTGGGCTCCTCTTCCCTATAGATCTGGTCTGTGTGGGGTTGGCCCCCTTTTCCCCTTAATCTTTCTGGGTCTGGTGGGTGGCTCCCTCTCCCCCTTAGATTGGTTGGGGGTCTGTTGGGGGTGGCTCCTCTCTCCCTAAGACTGGTCTGGGGCTGTGTGGGGGTGGTCCTCTCTCCCTATAGACGGCGGGGTCTGGTGTGGTGGCTCCTTCCTCCCTATAGACGGGTTGGGGGTTTTGGTTGGGGGCTCCTCTCTCCCTAAAATCGGGTCT